CTTCTTCTTCTTCTTCTTCTTCTTCTTCTTCTTCTTCTTCTTCTTCTTCTGTATCTCCAGTGCTTAATCCAGTACATCACAAATGGACTGATTGGCAGACAGATAGTAACTGATAGAGCCATCAAGTTTTTTGATCCCAAATATGAGATCACAGGCCCACAGATTTCATTCTACTTCACCAGCTAATGTACCTTAGAGACTATCCAGTACATTCTCCTAATTTTATAGATGAGGAAACTGAGGCCCAGAGAAGTTATGTTACTTGCTCTAAGAACATGATCTTCTCTATAAAATCATACTTACTTTTGTTTGACCATTCTGAGGCCTTGGTACTTGGAGATGTGACATTCTATCATCTTGCCATTTGATGGCAAACTTTTTTGCACATCACAAAGTGTTAATTCACTCTTTCCCTTGTCATCAAACAGGAACCAATCTACACTTCTTGGCAACATGGATTTGAGTGTCTCTACCTCATGGCCCAACTTTTCACTTTTTCCAAACTAAAATCTGTTTGAAATTCTTTCCCATCTTTTCCTGCAACTCTGTTAGCTTTTCTTTTGCACATTTCATTGAATCAGAATATTAAACCTGCTAGGAGATTAAGGAAGTTCCATTCTCCTAGGGATATAGAGCATTGAGGAAACACTGTGGTGCAGGGTGTAGAGAGTAGACCTGGGTGTCATAGGACTTCAGTTCAAATCTCAGCCTTCTGTCTCTCTAACTGTATGACTTTGGACAATTACTTCTCTTTGGGCATAAGTTTCCTTACCTATAAAATAAGGATATTGGACTAGATGATCCCTAACTTCCATTCCATCTCTAAATCTAGAATCCAATATAGGCAGATAAGTAAATTCCAAGAAATTTGGGAGAGGTGAAAAGCATCGATAACTCAGAGAGGGGTGAAGCCTTCTCAAAGTAATTTGAGAGAGGAAGAAAGCACTAATAACTCAGGGGAGTGAGCAAAGCTTTTCAAAGATGCTGGTGCTCAAAGTACTGAGTGCTCATACACATATGACTGATGGTTCAGCACCTAATCACATATCTACAGGGGAAAACTTTTTTTTTTTTTTTTTTTTTTTTTTTTACTGCTTAGTGGATAGAGTGCTGAGGCTGGAGTCAGGAAGATTCATCTTCCTGAGTTCAAATGTGGCTTCAGTCACTTACAAACGTGTGATCCTGGGCAAGTCACTTAACCCTATTTGCCTCAGTTTTTCCATTTGTGAAACGAGCTGGAGAAGGACATAGCAAACCACTCCAATGTCTTTGCCAAGAAAACCCCAAATGGGGTCCAAAAGAGTTGGACATGGTTGAAACAATTAAACAATAACAAGTACAAATTATGTTACTTTAAGGAGATTGGGAGATTCCTGAGGTCAGAAATTCCATTGTCTTCTCTTATGTCTTATGGTACACAACCAATGAATTCCCAACCTTCCTGCCAATGCAATGACTCTTGTTTTCCTCCCAAAGAAAAGGAGAAGGTTGGAGGTAGGAGGAACAGCACTCAGTTATGTGCCCTGTCCCCATATCCGCCAGACTGGAGTTACTTAACTTGGGGATTGTGAACTTGTATTTTTAATATTTGGATAACTATTTCAGTTTAATTGTTTTTCTTTATACTTCTAATGTATTTTATTTTATGCATTTAAAACATTTTAAGGCATTCATAGGCTTTACCAGATGGCCAAAGGGGACTATGACACAAAGCACATACATTTAGAACCTCTGCTTTAGACCCACAAGCATTGTTATCTGACATATCAATGAATCCTAAGGTTGATTTATCTTCATTATTGCTACATCCTTAAGACCACCAGGATCTCCCATCCATCCTATCACTGAATCCTCTGATATGTGTTTTGACCTCTTCCTTTAGAACATGAGCTCAGTGAGCTTCTATTTTCTTCTCATATCCCTGGTGATTAGCATGGTTCCTGGAAGATAGTAATCAATAAATGCCTTTTCATTGACTCATTAAAGTAGACATTCAAAGTAGACACTTGCTGAATGAAAAGCTTAGTTGAATGAGTGAATGAATGAATGATAATGCATTTATTAAATGCTATGTGCCAAGCAAGGTGCTAAATGCTAGAGACACAAACAGAAAAACAAGACAGTCCCTGTCCTCAAGTGACTCACTTTCTAATTGGGAGAGAAAACATCTCAGAAGGGCTCCATTTCATTATTCCTCCATTGTAAGTTCCAGGAAAGTAAGACTGATTATTTTTTGAAAAGAGCAGGGCTTGGCACAATAATCTCCGCATAGCATTTAATGAAGGTCTGTTGAACTGAAAATGTAGGACTCACCTTGAAGACTTTTAAAAAAGCAGATTTAGAGCCCCGGGTTGGGTGGTAGCCACACCATCTCACCTTCCCATCTCAGGCCCTGCTGGAATTAACTGGAGTCATGTTTAGAGAAGCAGTAGCTAGCACAAAGCATTGCTATTTTTATTTATTAGCTAGGAGTAGTAAAATAGGCCTCTACCTGATGATTTTCTATAGTCCCCTGCTACTCTCCCTCCCTACCTGTTCCCACAGCAACACATCCTCTCCTTAGCTCACATCACACAAACTACACCCCCTCCAACCACCAAGGGTCAAAATTCACAAATGATCAGATGTGGCTCCTCACACGGCTTGTCATTCCATCTGCCATCAGAAAAGATCTCAATGCAGATCTCTCCACCACCCTCGTTATTGTGCTCTCCTGGGTCCCAGTTGAAATAGCCCAGTGGGTCTCCTGTTGGATAGATGAATTCACCCTCTGTCTGGATGTCAGTCATGCCAAGAAAGGCTGCCTTGTTGTATTCTGAGACAATCTTCTGTACAGCTTTATTCTCTGCCTCATTTCTGGGGGAAGCCACTATGTCACCAGCTGCTTTGCATGATTTCTTTGCCTTATCAAAGTTGCCTTCAAAGCCCCTGGTCTTGTATATCTTATTTCCAAGTGCTTGACCACTTGGGAAGAGTTCAACTAGAGGAAAAAAAAGCACAGGAAAATATAAACAGAGGAGTTAGTTAATTTGGGGTTAGGATGACTAGAGAAGTTCAATTCTGACTATACTGTTCCTTGGCTCAACAATTCTCAGCCTCTCTCTTTGCATATAGAGCAGAAGTTCATAACTTTTTGTGTTTCATGGACCCCTTTGGCAAACTGGTGAACTCTTGAGACATTTTCTCAGAATAATGCTTTTAAATAATTAAAGGAAATACTAAATTTCTGTTACAGATCAGTGAAAATAGAGATGTATTTTGTTTTCCCATCCAAGTTCATGGACCCTCTAAAATCTATTCATGGATCCACTAGGAATCAATAGGCACCAGGTTAAAAAGCCTTGATATAGAATAAAATATAAACTCCCAGGCCAGGGATTGAAGACCTTATTCCATATGGCTCCAATCTCTCTTTCAGCCTTTCTTCATATTACTGTTCTTTTTGCATTCTGTTTTCCAGCCAGACAGGTTGTTTTTCCTGAACTCACCATTCCAGAGTTTGCCTCCATCCAGTTGCACAATCCATTCCCAATGTATGAAATGCACTTTTTTCACCTTAGGTTCTGATTTTCAGAAGCCTCAGCACTTAGCACAGTGCCTGGCCCAGAGTAGGCACTTAATAAATGTTTATAGATTGATTAATTGCTTTTTCTTCAAGGGAAAGCTCAGGTACTGCCTTCTTCAGGAAGCCTTCCCCGATACCCACACTCTCTAGTAGAATGTAGATTTTCCAGAGGGCGGGGGTGGCTACTTTTTCCTTTTTTTTTTGGATTTTTGTCCTTGGTGTTGATCACAGTATCTGGTACATAGTAGAAGCCTAATGAAGTTTTGTTGGATTGAATAGTATTCTTCCTCTCCCTTTTTAAAATAGTATTTTTTCCAATTATACATAAAGAGAATTTTTAGAATTCATTTTTACAAGATTTTGAGTTCCAGATTGTTCCCTCTCTCCCTCCCTCCTTTTCCTAGAATGGTAAGCAATTTGATATGAGTTATAAATGTGCATTTACGTAAAACATATTTCCATATTAGTCACAATTGTGAAAGAAGATAGACCGAAAGGGAAAACACACACACACACACACACACACACACATACACACACACACACCATGTTGCTGTTACTATGTACAATGTTTCCCTGGTTCTGCTCATTTCACTTTGCATCAATTCATACAAATCTTTCCAGGTTTTTCTGAAATCTGTCTGCTCATCATTTCTTATTGCACAATAGTATTCCATTACATTCATATACCACAACTTGTTCAGCCATTCCCCAATTGATGGGCATCCACTCAATGCCACTACAAAATATGCTGCTATAAATATTGTTGCACATGTAGGTTCTTGTTCCTTTTTTATGATCTCTTTGGGATACAGACCTAGTACTGGTATTGCTGGATCAAAGGGTGATTGGAGAGTATTCTAATTCTTCCATAACCACTAGACAATCTGCCTTTACATCTCACTTGCTGATGTTATAAATCCTGTTCCCTATGTCATAAATTTGTAGGATAACCACTTTCATAACAACAAAATTCTGTATGAATACAGCCTATTGATATTGGGGATTCAGGAGAAGATATTACAAAAAAAATGACTGCAAATTTGTAACTAGAGCACAGCTTGTGCTATATCTTGGGATTCTAGAGCTAGAAGAGACTTAAAAATGAGATGTTTCAACTCCTTCATTTTCTATTTTTTTTTTGTGGTGAGGCAATTGGGGTTAAGTGACTTGACCAGAGTCACACACCTAGTGAGTGTTATGTGTCTGAGGTTGGATTTAAACTCAGATCTTTCTGACTCCAGGCCTGGTGCTCTATCCATTGCGCCACCTCACTGCCCCTCCTTCATTTTCTAAATGAAGAAAGTGACATCTGGAATATGGAAGGGATTTTTCTAAAGTCCAGATTCTGCCAATTAGTATCAAAGGTAAGATTATCACTCAGTTCTCTCAGGTTTCATGAATGGCTCTTCTGCATTCACCATACTCATAAAATGCTACATGCTAAATGTTCATTTGTAAGTAAATGTTTGGAACTCTTGATGGGTTTTCCATTGGAATTCACATTATGGTGGCATTGAGATTTCCAGACAAGCCCATGAAAGCTCATTGGAAACTTAACTCTTAGAGATAAGTATTGGAGCTAGTAGTTGAACCTCTGGGCTTCCAAATGCAAATTAAATGTTTTTTCCACTATTGCATGATGTCTCCTCCATATTCATCTCAGATAACGAGATTTTGAGCTCAAAGGAAAATCGAGTGGCCCTGTAACTCCATCTCCCTCATTTTACAGATGAAAGAAAACCCAGAGAAGTTAAGAAACTTGTCCAACATCAGATAGTAAATCAATGGTAGAGCTGGGATTTGAACTCAGACCCTCAGACTCCTCGTCCTTTACTCTTTCTACTACACTATGAATCTTTTGGATTTCCATTTGCTCTGTGTGTTCCTGAAGGTGACAGGTACATGAGCACATGGTACCGATGACTCTGTTAGCACAGCATGGCTTTGACATTACTGTTTGAAGCTCATCACCCTGATGTTTCCAGTCCTTTAGTTTATGCAGGTCATAAGGTATTTTTGTTTCTAGAGATTAGATTCTAGATTGTAGACCTATACAGCTGGCAGCAACCTTAGAAGTAATCTAGTTCATTTCACAAAAGTCCCAGAAAGGTCAAATTAATCATCTTAGGTCACCTATGGGCAGCTAGATAGTACGCTGGATAGAATGTGGGCTTGGAGTCAGGAAGATCTGAGTTCAAATCCAGCCTCAAACACTTACTAACTGTGTGATCCTAACCAAGTCATTTAACCCTCTTTGCCTTGGTTTCCTCATCTGCAAAATGAGCTGAAGAAGGCAATGGCAAACCACTCCAGTATCTTTGCCAAGAAAACACCAAATGGGATCATGAAGAATCTGACATGACTGAAAATAACTTAACAACAACAAAGTCACCTACCTAGTAAAACGGCAGAACTGAGACTCAAACCCGGGTCACTGATTCTAAATCAGCATTTTCCCTTAGCTTCAACTTAGTCATTTGTAGCCATTTAGCTACCTTACACATTAAAATTCTTTTTTTTTTTGACTCAACTAGCTCTTTCCAAATTACCATAAAAAGAGGATTGGACAAAGATTGAAGGGAGACCTGGAGGGCTTCTAGAATCATCTAGAATCTCCAGACTGAAGTATGGGAGGAGTCTTGACCTGAGGGATGGTCAGAATTAACAACTCTTTGCTCTTTTTGCCTATTCTGAAGGCCCTGAGGTAGAAGAGAACCCCAAAGTAACAACAGAAGGATGCAATGAACCATCATCACTCTGGCTTCCACACAGTTTGGCCCCAAAGATAAAGATCTCTATCCATAAGGCCCAGTGCAGCTCTGTAAGCCTTTTTGTTGGGGAACAGTCCATGCGAGAATGAGTGGCCCAGACTATGGTGCTAAATCAGGCCTCCAGCACAGAACTTCTTGCTAAGACCAAGCTGCTCTCATCTGCCCTGGGTAGCTTATAAGCTCCATTTTTGTGGATCAGCCTGGATGCCTTGTCACTTAGGCATCCTAGAGCATTTACATAATTCCATGTTGAAGGATTCTTCCCTTTACCCTATTTAAGTTCATTTGAGGCTATTTCTTTCCCTGGATCCATAAATTTGGCTTACTAAGAGAAGATACAAAGTCTAATTGTCAGCCCATGCCCTTAAGAAAAATGAAATCAGAGTGTTCTCTAAGACTCTTGGTGTTAAGGCAGGGGGTGCAATGGAGAAATAATGCTCTAGGTGGAGGCAGAGGACTGGGTTTGTGTTCTAGTGCTTCCACCCACTCCCTGCTGATCTTGGGCGAATCCTTTAAGCTGCATGGGTCTGGTTTTCTTTATCTTTAAAATAAAGAGTTCGACTGGGTAACGTCCAACATCCCTTCCAGTTCCAAGTCTAGAATCCCACACGCCTTTCTTCTTCCCTTTCCTTGGCAGAATTTTCCATTCCCTTCAAACTAATTTATTAACATCCTCTCCTCATCACTAGGCAGGAGAGCAGCCCAGGTACCAAGAATGAAGTTCGAAAATCAAGAAACCAGCTCCAGAAGAGTAAAAGTAGAGCGTGTCCAGAGAACAAGGGAAGAGGCTGGGATAGCAAGCAGACCTTGCCCCAGCCTCAGCTCCAAAGTGCTTACCTTTCTGTTGCTTGGAGAATCTTTTCTGGAGGTCCTCAATTTTTGTGCGCAATTCAGCCACTTTCTGCTTCAGCTTGTTGATTTCTGCAAGAAGGGAGAGAGGTTTTGAAAGATCCTCAGTCTAGCATATGTTTTTTCTTGGATTAATACCCAAGGCTTTCAGGAGTGAGAGATGAAAGTCCTTGAAGACACTCAGGGAGCTAGCAGTCAGTGAGAAGTGCCTAGGATAAAGGCTGGTGCTGGGCAGAGTCCCTCAGACTTAGCAGCTGTTGCTCTGCTTAAGAGGTTTTCTATCCCTCCTTCCCCATCCTGCCTATAAGGCTCACCAGCTACAGTGAGTAGGAGAATAGTGCAATTTTTTTTCTTTTTGTTTTGTTTGCTGGATGGGGGAGAGGTAATCAAGGTTAAGTGACTTGCCCAGAGTCACACAGCTAGTAAGTGTCTGAAGCTGGATTTGAACTTAGGTCATCCTGACTCCAGGCCCTACACTTTGTCCACTGCACCACTTAGCTGCCCTGTCATGCAATTTTCCATGAAAGTCTAAGGGCTGAGAAGCCCTAGCCAGGGGTGGGGAACCTGGGGTCTCAAGTGCAGTCCTTTGATTGAATCCAAACTTCACAGAACAAATCCCCAATAAAAGGATTTGTTCTGTAAAACTTAGACTCAGTCAAAAGCCCCCACTCAAGGGCCTAGAAGGCCGCAAGTGATCTCAAGGTGGCAGGTTCCCCACCCCTGCTTAGCCTAAGGCTGAATTTCAATCACTTCCCATTCTTCAGCCTAAGTTTGTCAGAAGAAATGAGAGTTCATTGACTTATCCACAAGGTGGAGTGAGATTAGTTGTGAAGACAGTTGGTTGGGCATTGTCCGAAATGATTTGGCCATGGAACATTTTAAAGCACTTTAGTTACCACATGGTCAAGAATAGGTTGTGATTACCATTACCTTTCCACTCAAAGTCATCCTCAGAGTCACAGCGTAGAGCATTGGAACTTGGAGTTAGGAAGAATTGTGTTCAAATCCTGTCTCAGACACATAAGCTATGTGAGCTGGGTAAGTCACTTAACCTCTCTGTGCAGTTTCCTCATCTGCAAAATGAGACAGCTGGATCTGATAGCTGCTAAGGTCTCTTCCCTCAGTCCCTTCTACCTCTACATCTCTTGCATGAGTCTCCTAGTTCTGGGCCTCATTACCTCTCACTTGTACTATTGTAGTAGCTGCTTGACTGAGCTCCTTTTTTCCTCCTCATTCCAATCCATCCTTCACACATCTGCCAAAGTTATTTTCTTGAAGTACAGGCCTAACCAGTTTGCTTTTCTACTCAATAACTCTAGTGGCTCCTGATTGACTCCATGATTAAATATTATCTCATCTTTTAATTTCTGATTTTTAAAAGTTGTGTTTTTTTTTTGTTTGTTTGTGGGTTTTTTTTTTTGTGTGTGTGTGAAGCAATTGGAGTTAAGTAACTTGACTGGAGCACACAGCTAGTGAGAGTTATGTGTCTGAGGTTGGATTTGAACTCAGGTCCTCCTGACTTGAGGGCCGGTGCTCTATCCACTGCACCACCTAGCTGCCCCTTAAGAGTTTTTTTTAAAATATCTATAATTATTAGTATCATAGTAGAGGTATCTAATTTGTAAATAAGTAGACATATATTTATTGGGAACATATGTGCAAAAATTCTTTTTACTTATGGGGTGCATCATTAAAAAGTTTGGAGCTCTGCCCTGTAGCAAGACCCAGTGCTAGGGCTAGACAGACAATCAACCTGCCTTGAATATAAAGACTGCTATGGTTTAGTTGAAGGAAGTTAAGTATTAGCCTTCTTATAGGGCAACTAACTTTGAGACCATATAGACCAGAAAGCAAACTTGCTATGAGTACAATGAGGTTCTATTGAGGATTTTTCAAGGATGGAAAGCATTCTTTCTTGATTTCCATTCAAATACCAACAATTGCCACTGGGTATCTAAGTCTGGAAATCCCCGTGGCCTTTCATACTCAATATGTCTCAATTCATTTTGGAAGTACACTGAACTTGTAGTTAAAGAGATCTGAGAACTCAAATCCTACCTTCAACATTTAGCCATTATGGAGGAGTTGCTTTCCTTCTCTTAGCCTCAGTTTCTAGATCTTTTCAATAGGAATAATAATACCTCTAGTAATACCCAGAACTAGGAGTCAAGAGACCTGGTTTCTAAATTCAGCTCTGTCACAAATTAGCTGTGATCTTTTCAACAAGTTTTCTACCCTCTCTGGTCCTCAGTTTCTTTATCTTTAATTGGGAATTGGAATTCGATTAGCTCATAGGATCACAGATTCAGAGTTCAAGAGGGGCTTAGGCTATTACCCTCTAAGTTCCTATTCAGTTCTATATTTCTATCATTTTAACATCATACTTTTTACCATAAGCATCCTACTCATTTGCCCTATCATGGCATAGATGTGACTCTGGGTTTTCAACATGAAGCAAAAGCCCTGGCAGGTTTTCCAAAGTTGAAATGCTTGGATTGCAAGCCCAATAACCTTGTCTACTTTCAGAGGATCAGCCTGGCTAAATGCAGACCCCATCATCAGAATGGTGGCTATGAGGTGATGGATTCTTTGGTAATGGACCACAGTACAAAGTGGTCCTTTATCCTATTAGAGGTTTCTTTTCCTGTAAATGAAAGTGAGCTTACATTTCCAAGCAACAATTGTGTGGTAAAGAGAAAGGGAATACTTTTGCTTTTAAGAGAAAGCAGAGAAATACACAATTTTTTTAAGATCATTAATTTAGCTATTGATACTCTTAATTTGAGATCTTTATTCGCTAACCAAAAAGTTAGGGGAAAAGTACCACATCAACATTGCCATTCTTATTGTAAATGGAATGAGAAGATATAAGAAGTTGCATCTCAGTAGAAGGCTAGCTCACAGGTTCCCTTCAGAGAGGCAAATAAAGGGGTTGGTAGTTATTTGAATCTTGTTTCTTTTAGAGGGCAAGCTCTTTGAGGGTTGGGACTCTTTCATGTTAGGTCTTCATATCCCTAGCATTAAGCACAGTGCTTGGAACATAGTAGGGCTTAAAAATGCTTGTTGATTGATTGGTTGGTTTGATCATTTGCTTAGAGGCAACAAAAAACACCCTTTTGTGGGATATTTGGTCACCCTGCCACAAAATGCTCATTTTTAGTGTAAGAAGACAGACTATCTTGAAGGATAAGTATATGCATTAGCATCTCTTGTAGATGATAAGGAAAAGGAGAAAGTCCATGAAGAACTTCACCAGATCCTCTATACTAGCTTATAGACACCTTAGTAATTGGTGACTTCAAGGCCAATTGGGCTTGGGGGTAAGGAGGGAGGAATAGGATAGTGAAAAATGGGACAGAAAATATGGTTCCAGATCAAGAAATAAATACTGAGAAACCTTTTTTTCATTAATAAATATTGTCTTCTAGAAGGGAGTAAGAAGCTTTTGGGGGTACCTGACAACATATAGAGAAGGAGCCTGAGTATAGCTTGACAGAAATGACAACTAACCTATGGATATTGAAAGTCAAAATCAATACCAAATTAGGAGAAAGTATAAAAGTAAGACAAACAGGTCAAGCCATTATAGGAACTCCAACCCCTTTCATTCAAATAAGCTTTTGACTCTGAAAAAAAATGAAAAATGGGTAAAAATACAAACATTAGCTCTAATTACTGCTATTTTTAAGAATCTTTAAACTCTAAATCCACATCTTTTCCAAAGGGGGGGGAGCAAGAGACTCCAGAAATTGCCCCAGGCAGTAAGTATTTAATTTCTTTGCTGAGGGGGAAAAGCTAAAAGCCAAGGGCAGCACTTGTTTAGAGCACTGTGTGAATTCACTTACAAACAAACATTATGGAGGAGGAGGATGGCAGATTACTAGCTGTATCACCTTATAGAACAGGAAAGAGCAGTAGAGGGGGAAGATGAGCCAGAGAAGACATGCTGTCAGGTGCAAATAAGCCAGATTCCATAAACCTTTAAATTCAACAAACATTTATAAAGTGTCTATTGTGGTCAGGGGGGATTGTTGTTATTATTGTTGTTGTTGTTCAGTTGTTTCATCATGTCTGACTCTTTGTGACCCCATTTGGGGCTTTCTTGGCAAAGATGCTGGAGTGGTTTGCCATTTTCCTTCTCCAGCTCATTTTACATATGAGAAACTGAGGCAAACAGGGTTAACTGACTTGCCCAGGGTCACACAGCTAGTAAGTGTCTGAGGCCAGATTTGAAGTCAGGAAGAAGAATCTTCCTGACTCCAGGCCTGGCACTGTACCCACTGTGCCATCTAGCTGCTTCAAGGGGGCAAAAAAGTCCCTGCCTTCAAGTAACTTGCATTCTACTGAGGGATTTCACATGAAAAGAATGAATAAGTAGATTATAATTTGAAGAGGGAGAGGGCACTCGTAACTAGGGGAAGCAGGGATTTCTCAGGTCCTCCTACCTAAATGTGTTTCACATAGAAAAAAAAAATAAGAATTCTAAGAGGTAGAGAAAAGGAAGAGTACATTCCAGGCATGGAAAACAGCTTATTCAAGGGCATGGAGAGGCTGGAGAAGAAATGATCTGTACAGAGAATAGTGAATAGGTCAGTTTGACTGAAATATAGAATACATGAAGGGGAGTAATGTGAAAAGGTCTGGAAGAGTAGGCTGGAACCAGACCATACAGGTCTTTAAATGCCAAGTTGAGAAATTCATAGCTGAGCCTAGAGCCAGTAGTGACTTTTGAAGTTTTTTGAGCCTGGGATTGATATGGACAGACCTGTGCTTTAAAAACATTTATCAATGAAGTTGAGAGGATGACAACAAACGATTGCAATCAGTCAACAAACCTTCATTAAGTATATACTATGTGCTAGACACTGTCCTGGGTACATGTGAGGCAAAGACAAAAATGAAGCAGTCCCCACCTTCAAGGATCTTGCCATCCTATTGCCCTTTCAGATGTTATCTCTGGCTCTCTCTGGACTTTATCATCAGTTACCTTCTCACACTATAACTTCCCTCATCTTCTAGGGCAGGGGTGGGGAACCTGTTCCCTGAAGGCCACATGTGACCTTCTAAATGGATTCAGTCAAAAGGCCTCACTTAAGGATTTAGAAGGCCATATGCGGCTTTAAGGCTACGGGTTCTGCACCCCTGATCTAGTCTTCTCACACTGAAACTGCGAACCTCCTTATGCCATTGGTGGGTTCTTTCTGGGGGCCTCCATTTTGTGGACACATGCAGGCTGGTCATACTTCATTCCCCTGCTGTCTGCGCTTGTGACTCTAGACTTTATCTCTGTGTCCCTGAGCCAGTAACTTGCTCTCCTCCCTTTTATGTGTTTTTTTCCCACATTAGAATGTAAGCATCTTGAGGGCAGGAACTGTCTCTGTTTTTGTTTGTATTTGTATCAGAGTACTTAGCACAGTGCCTGGCACTTAAGCACTTAATTAACGTTTGCTGACTGTCTACAGGGAAGAGACAACATATACATAATATATAGATATCAAAAATATACAAAATAAACAAACTGCAATTTTGGGTAGAAACAAGAAGAAAGTGCATTCCATACCTGCAAAGGCAGAGATTGAAGATGAGATATCATTTCTGAGGAGCTGATTTTTGGCCAGTTTGACATTCTATAGTTTGCTCTACTGTAGAATATATGAAGGCAAGTAATATGTAATAAATTCGGAAAGATAAGTTGAAATCAGACCATAGGGTATTAAATGCCAAACCAAGAAGTTTAGATTTGATCCTAGAGATAATAGGGAATCATTAGAGTTTACTGAGCAGGGGAGTCATATGGTGAGACCTGTACTTTATGAAATTTACTTTAGCAGCTGTGGGAAGGATGGCTTGCAGTGAGGAGAAATGAGGCTGGGAGTCCAATCAGAAAGTTACCACCATAGTCCAGGTAAGAGGTATTGGGGCCTGTAACAATGTGCTGGCCATATAAGCACAGAGAAGAAGATGGATGCAAGAGATGTGGTGTTAACGGATATGACAAGAGTTAGCACCCCATTGGAAATGAGGAGTGAGGGACAGTGAGAAGCAAAATAGAATGAAATGAATTTTCTAACATTTCTTTAATGATCTATTCTCATCCGTCACATCTGGACTGTAACACCAACCTGAAGTGTTGTTTTATATGAGATAATGGCATTGGCCCTTGATGATGAGGGGCAAAAACATCTGGACCAGACCAAATACACCCAGAAGCAATATGTGCTAGAGATAACAAGTCATTTAGAAGTTGCTTAAAGAAAGAATGGTATCTAAAGAGCAGAAGTTACAATTCAAAACAAATACACATGTACAAACTGAGAAGACATTAGCAATTACTGAACAAAATACTCACGTTTTCATCTCTAGAAAATATTTATGATAGTTGATATATGTACATATTGAGAGTTTCCTTGATGAAAATATGAGAAGTTATTAGCTATGTGGTCCTGGGCAAGTCACTTAACCCCAATTGCCTCCGAAGAAGAAGAAGAAAAAGAAGAAGAAGGAGGAGGAGGAGGAGGAGGAGGAAAGAAGGAAGAAAGAAAGAAAAAGAAAACTATGAGAGGGGAAGAAGTATGTCTCTACAGATGGATGACTCAATAGCAGACCACAGTTCCATGGTCATAAGATTGACTGTAAGGTACACAGTATACAAGTATAGATTCTATGTATACAATATAGAAGATCTTACTATGTTTATTGAGTTTTTAAAAAATCCAAGACATATGACTCAACAGAGCAAAATGTAACCTTCAAGTCTATCCTTTTACAAAGTGTCCCTTGCATGCATGTTAAGATCATATAAGGGGCAGCTAGGTAGTGCAGTGGATAGAGCACTGGCCCTGGAGTCAGGAGGACCTGAGTTCAAATTTGGCCTCAGACACATAACACTTGGTAGCTGTGTGACTCTGGGCAAGTCACTTAACCCGAAGTGCCTCACCAAAAAAAAAAAATAATAAAGATTCCATGATAGATAATTCCACAAAGATAAATTTATTTTTTGGTTTGTTGTTATTAAGTTGTGTCCAACTCTTCATGACCCCTTTGAGTTTTTCTTGGCAAAGATATTAGAGTAGTTTGCCATTTCCTTCTCCAGCTCATTTTACAGATGAAGAAACTGAGGCAAACAGGGTTAAGTGACTTGCCCAGGGACACACAACTAGGGAGTATCTGAACCCATATTTGAACTCGGTAAGTCTTCCTGAATCCAGGCCTGGCACTCTATCCTCTGCACGACCTAGCTGCCCATAAGCTTTCTTTAACAATCCTCAAAGAATCATGAATCAAGGCATAAATAAGAGATATGCTCTATGAAAGTATATGGCAGAGTGAACTGTGCAAATCCCAAGCAGAGGAAGGATTCTGCAAAAGCACCACCACCCTTCCTATCTCCCAGGTATGTAATCTTTAAGTCATCTTCAACTCCTTATTCTTCCTCCCTCCCCATATTCAACTGCTTGCCAAATCTTGCTGATCCTACCACCATAGGATCTCTTGTATCTATTCCATTCCCTGTACTCTCATCACCAACACCCTATTTCGGCCCCCTCACCATCTACTTACTAGACTATTGCAACAGCATCCTACTCAGTCTTCATGTATCAAGTCTCTTCTCTCTAGTCCAAAATGATTTTCCTAAGGCACTCACATCTGATCTTGTCACTTCCCTAATCAATAAAATCCAGTCTTCCTACTTACCTGTAGGACCAACGTAAACTTCTCTGTTACTTACCACCCTTCACAACCTGAATCTAGTCTACCTTTCCAACCTTATCACACATTAGTCCCCTTTACAAATTCTTTAGTCCAGCCAATAGTCCTTCTTGCTGTTATTCATACCCATCCTAGAGGCATCACCAGAAGAGTAGGGATGAGTAGGAG